TATGAGATATATTCCACCTGTTGTTGGTAGCGAGCTGCTCCGTCGATGGTAAAATAGTAATCACAAACTATAACTGGATTTTGCTCTTTGGGGATAACTTAAAATCTCACTTTTCAGTTGGGTTAGTCGAAATGCAGGAAAACATATCTTATTTGGAGGAACTGCATATTACTTCAAAAGTAAGTTGTCCCGAGTAATGAATTGACGGTATTTACATTATTATAAACGCATAGCATAGTCGCTTCTAGGAGAGGGCTAATGCGACACCCAAAAGTAAGAAATACTCAATGACCTATTTGCTTGCCTACCTACACCTGTCACCTCTCATGGAGGAGAAAACACCGCCCACCAGCATTCTCAATCAAGCTCTGTCCTGAGTACTCCCCTCCAGTCGTTACTCGTCCTTTTCAAGTCTGCTTCCCATTCCTGAAGCAGTGTGTTCTTTGACCTTCCTCTTCGCCTCTTCCCTTCGGGATTCCAAGTTAGGGATTGAGTCGTGATGCACAATGGTGATTTCCTTAATGTATGTCCTATCCACTTCCAACGTCTTTTCCTAGTTTCCTCTTCAGCTGGAAGTTGGTTTGTCTTCTCCCACAGTAGACCGCTGATGATGGTCAACGGATATTGAGTATCTTACGTAGACAACTGTATATAAATACTTGTACGATTTCGATGATGATTGTGGTAGTTCTCCAAGTTTCATCTCCGTACAGTAGACATGTATCGACGTTTGAATAGAAGATTCTGACTTTGAGAGTGGTTGACAGTTGTTTTCAGTCGCATATGTTCTTTGATTGTGAGAATGCTGTTGTTGCTTTTCCAATCATCGCCTTTATGTCAGCATCAGATTTACATTGTTATTAATCAATGACCTGATGTTATAACAAAATTAATCTAATACGAGCTTATATACTTCCTTATTTCATATGGGCATTACGTTCCTCTAATGAGTGACAGAATGTTTGAGTATTTAAATAAAACGAGCCCAGACTTCACGTGGTCACCATGTTGTGTAAAATATCTGTAAAAACAAACTGTTAAACCCTTCTAATTCCAATATTCAAAGGGGAATAAATATTCGTCTAACAATCGCTTTATCCGTTAGACTGACAAAATATTCTCATTAAGGAATCGAAAAGTCTATTCGATAGTCCGTACATAGTCGTTTTCGAGGCCACTCAGGGGAATAATATAGCTGATTGGGACTAGCGAAATATAACGAGACTTTGCAGATCATCCCTCCGGCTGTAGCTCTTCTAGAGTTAGAGTAAAGGAGGAGGGTTGGGCATGGGGTTAGCGACCCCATCCCGTAGAAAAGCTAACTCGCTAAAAAAAAACGCCAACCAGAAAAAATAATTCAAACCATTTAAACTCTGCCCTGGGAGTTGAAGGAATAGTTATGACGTCTCATGATGAAAGCCGAAATTCTTCGGAAGTCACGAGACCGATGCACCTTCTAACAACCAGAGCAACACTCTTTATAGGTACATGGAACGTCCGGACAATGTGGGAGACAGGAAAGACCAGCCAAATAGCAATGGAAATGAGAAGATACAACTTGACAGTACTCGGAATCAACGAAACCCATTGAACACAAACTGGACAACAAAGGCTAGGTACAGGAGAGATGCTGCTGTACTCCGGTCACGAAGGGGAAAATGCTCCACACACTCAGGGAGTTGCTCTAATGCTGTCCAAAGAAGCACGAAATGCACTTGTGGGATGGGAATCTCATGTACCCAGGATAATCAAAGCATCATTCAGAACAAAGAAGCAAGGGATCACAATGAACGTTATCCAATGTTATGCACCCATCAATGATAGCAACGACGATGATAAAAATCAGTTCTATGAAAGGCTGCAATAAATTATAGAGAAGTGCTCACGAAAGGACCTCACCATCCTGATGGGAGATCTAAATGCTAAAGTTGGAGTGGACAACACAGGATATGAAGATGTAATTGGACGACATGGATTAGGAGAGAGAAATGAAAATGGGGAGAGACTTGTAAACCTATGTGCATTCAACAAATTGGTTATAGGCGGCACAATATTCCCACACAAGCGCATACACACAGCTACATGGATCTCACCGGACCACACCACAGAGAACCAGATTGATCACATCTGTATCAACAAAAAATTCCGAAGATCAATGGAAGATGTGAGGGCCCGGAGAGGAGCTGACATAGCTTCAGATCACCACCTGGTTGTGGCCAAGATGAGACTGAAGCTAAAGAAAGACTGGACAACTGGACAAACAGCACTACAAAGGTTCAATACAGCCTTGCTTCAAGATACTGACAAGCTCCATGAATTCAAGATAACTCTCAACAACAGGTTCCAAGCTCTACAGGATCTACTGAATGAACAAGAAACTACTTTGGAGGACAACTGGAAAGGGATAAAAGAAGCACTAACTTCAACGCGTCAGGAGGTTCTTGGTCCTAAGAAGCATCATCACAAGGAATGGATCTCTATGGGAACCCTGGACAAAATTCAAGAAAGGAAGAACAAGAAACCAGCAATTAATAACAGCCGAACACGAGCAGAGAAAGTCAAAGCACAAACAGACTACGCAGAAGCAAACAGGGAAGTGAAGAAAATCATTAAAGCCGACAAGCAGAAATACATGGGAGAACAAGCAACGGCGGCGGAAAAAGCTGCAAGAGAAGGGAATATGAAACAATTATATGATGCAACGAAAAAATTGGCAGGGAGATATAGCAAACCGGAGAGACCAATCAAAGACAAAGAAGGAAAGATAATCACTGAGATTCAAGAACAGAGGAAAAGATGGGCAGAATACTTCGAGGAACTGCTGAATAGACCAGCCCCATTGAATCCACCGAACATCGAAGCAGCCCACACTGACCTTCCAATAGATGTCACTCCACCAACGATCGAAGAAGTCAAGATGGCCATCAGACAAATCAAAAGTGGGAAGGCGGCAGGACCTGACAATATACCAGCAGAAGCACTGAAGTCAGACATTGAAATAACTGCAAATATGCTTCACCTTCTATTCAAGAAGATTTGGGAAGAGGAACAAGTGCCAATGGACTGGAAAGAAGGATATCTCATCAAGATACCAAAGAAAGGAGATCTGAGCAAATGTGAGAACTACAGAGGTATCAGTTTGTTATCAGTATCAGGAAAAGTTTTCAACAGAGTGCTGCTGAATCGGATGAAAGACGCAGTAGACGCCGAACTTAGGGATCATCAGGCTGGATTCCGTAAGGATAGGTCGTGCACAGACCAGATTGCGACACTACGGATCATCGTTGAACAATCAGCTGAGTGGAACTCATCACTATACATCAACTTCATTGACCATGAGAAGTCGTTTGACAGCGTGGACAGGAGAACATTATGGATACTTCTTCGACACTATGGAGTTCCTGAAAAGATTTTCAACATTATCCAAAACTCATACGATGGACTACAGTGCAAAGTGGTGCATGGAGGGCAGCTGACAGATGCATTTCCAGTAAGGACCAGAGTCAGACAAGGCTGTCTACTCTCCCCATTCCTCTTCCTTCTAGTGATTGACTGGATTATGAAGAATTCGACATCCGAAAGGAAATACGGAATACAATGGACTTCTCAGAATCAATTAGATGATTTGGACTTCGCAGATGACCTAGCCCTCCTCTCTCATACAAACGAACAAATGCAAATGAAGACCGCAAATGTAGCAGCAGCCTCTGCATTGATAGGCCTCCACATTCACAAAGGAAAAAGCAAGATTCTCAAATGCAACACGGAGAACACCAACCCAATCACACTTGACGGCGAAACTCTGGAAGAGGTGGAAACATTCAAGTACCTGGGGAGCATCGTTGATAAACAAGGAGGATCGGATGCAGATGTAAAGGCGAGGATTGGCAAAGCAAGGGCAGCATTTCTACAATTGAAGAACATATGGAACTCAAAACAACTCTCAACCAATTTCAAGGTGAGAATCTTTAATACGAACGTCAAGACAGTCCTACTGTATGGAGCTGAAACGTGGTGAACTACTACAGCCATCATCAGGAAGGTACAAGTATTTATAAACAGTTGTTTACGCAAAATACTCAACATTCATTGACCGGATACTATCAGCAACAGCGTTTTATGGGAGAGGACAAACCAGCTTCCAGCTGAAGAGGAAATTAGGAAAAGACGTTGGAAGTGGATCGGTCATACATTAAGGAAATCACCAAACTGCATCACGACTCAATCCCTAACTTGGAATCCGGAAGGGAAGCAGAAAAGAAGAAGGCTAAAGAACTCACTACGCCGGGAAATAGAAGCCGATATGGAAAGGCTGAATAGCAACTGGAAAGAACTGGAAAGGAAGGCTCAGGACAGAGTTGGATGGAGAATGCTGGTGAGCGGCCTATGCTCCTCGACGAGGGGTAACAGGCGTAAGTAAAGTAAGTAAGTAAGTAAGTTGCAGATCATCCAACAAGAGGAAACATGACGCATAGCATCTACATAAATTGACGAAGTAAATGACTCTGAACTCACATTCGAATGATCTGATCCTAAAAGTAAGTTGTATTGGATAATCCTTTTATTTTGTGACATACAAGTGCTTGCCATAAAACTAAAAGTTGCGATCGTTATTTCTTTACACTTGAGAATGAAATGAATTCGATGATAGGACATCATAAGCATCTCTAATCATTTCCTTCAACGCCTAACGAAACTTATTTTGATTCAGATCTAAAAGATAAAAATTTCAAAGCATTGGAGAGTAATAAAAATTCATCGAAGAAAGGACGTCTACAGTAGTCTCCCTCAATACCGTCAGAACTGGAGTAAATACCTTCTGGATGAGCCACCAAACTCTATCGATATCTCCCGCAGAAGTGAACGTGTTTTTGTATATTTTTTTTGTTAGATGATACCCTCTTAGTTGTACCTTAATACTGACATGAATTAAAGCTCTGTTCAAATAATCTGAATTATGAGGGTTAATATGAAAATAAAGTGCTGTCGGATAAAACGAATGTCTCTCTAAATAATAAACAGATCAAAATGGACAACGGGTTCTGTAGTTGTGGATAACGAACTTACTAATTTTGGATATTGAATCTAGTTCATTATCTTTGTGCCGTGACCAACCTTTAAAACATGACCTTCAGTTTGGGTAGCTTTATTCACGCTAAAATACTCTGATGGCGTTTCTTATTTACGAACATTTAAATCGTGTCCCATCCAAAAAAATTAAATTTTCGGGGACCTGCACAACTATTCCTATCATTATTGACAATGGTTAGTATCAAAGCCATATTCTAATATAAAACGTACGTTTCCTACGTAGGAAATTATGAATGTCGTGCCGGTTATTCACATCTTGAAGAACCCCATATAACTTTCCCAAACGTAGTGTACCGTCCACGAATGTCGAAAGTAAATTTCTATTCTGTTAACAAAAACTGTTAGGGTGTTCTTGTCGGGAACGATATTCAAGACCTTGATTCTGTACGTCATAGTCTAAAGTCTCCGTTCGTGGACAATCTTGTCGTTAATTTAGATGTACAAGAACAGGTAATAAGCCACGTCTTTGGCAAGCTCAATGTTCAAGAACCGCTTGCTAATCCTGTTGTTATCAATGAAGTATTATGCAATCCCGGAGTATGTAGATCCCGCAAGTTATTATTTATTCCTTAATTTACGCAGAGCTAACTGAGCTACTGTTTGAAACTTACAACGTCCCAAAGCTAATGTTCTACGTAGACTGTCTTGCCTCCTACTATAACTTTCAACGTTCTGAAAATACCGGTAAACTGAATGCAACTTTTTCTGTTCCCCCTGTTTAACATTTTTTATTTATTTAGTGGTTCAAAAGAATTGGGGGTTTGCACCTTCATTTTAAAATGGTATCAATCACTTGGCGGTCCTTGGTTTTGGGGCGAATTTCCAATATCCTTTTTGACTCGTGACATTACTACTAACCATCGTTTCTTTCTACAGTTCTTTATAATAATCCTTCTCAGATTAAGATATTGGATCAAGATCGAAAATTTTGTACTTCCCTATATAGTTCGGACAAATTTCCTTTGACCTGATCTCACAATCCACTCTATTCACTGTAAAGTTTTCGTTAATTCTCTAGTAGTTAATACTCACTGGAGCAGTTTATGACTCGGAATTTTTACCACGTGCTTTCGCCATTTATTTTCGTGCTGTCCCACAAATTTAATTCTGTTTTATTAGCTGGATGAGTCCGCCACTCAGACGATTCTTTGCAAATGTCTTTAACAAATTGCCTGTAATCTTTTTGTACCTCCATTTGGTGTCTACTTCAGAACGCCGAAACCGAACAATATACTTGTCCTTTGGTAGAAATTTGATCATTTTGCCTAGGCCTTCATTCGTAGCGATCAAATGTTAAACAAGTTCTATGTATTCACACTGAATTTTGCGTGTTATCAGCTGATTAGTTTCAATCCGATCCCTATATGTTAAGTGATAGACGTATGTAATGGTCTTACCTATATTTAGAATAGGCATCTGTGCAAACAAATCCTGATGTTTCATTACCCGGTCAACAGTTATTCAAGATGCTAAGATAGCTCCATAACTTATACTAATCAGTGAGATTTTTATCCGTCGTCACTATCTCCTGTTGAACTTAGTTCATAAAAATTAAGCACTTTCCATGTTTTTATGACTTCGTTTTGCCATCATATTAGGAAAAACTTGAACTTATTTGGTAGATTATAGGACTGTTTTTTATTCACTGGTCAGATGTATGTTTCTCACTTCTAATTAAGTACTTGAGATTCATAAACCATCTTTTCTTCATTTATTTAGATCCAAATGCTAACTGTCTCCTTATATCTTTTGGGTATCAGAGAACTCATATCGTCCCCATTATCGCATTCCGTAATACAGATACACCGTTAGTTCTTAATCCTTTGATACAAGCCGCTCGTCGTCTCCACACAGGAGGTGCTCATGCGAGCTGGATGATCCAGCGTTTGCTCCAGTTAAAATATCCTTCTCATTCAGAACGTATTACTGCAGGACTAGCTGAGGTATGTGGTGTTATAAGTTGTCTAAAGTGAGTATTAGTCTTGTTTTATTTTACCGACTTTTGTGACTTGTTTCGTAGTACATAAAGTCATATATAGAGAGACCCAATTTACACAGCTAGATCTCAATTTGTCCCAATCTAATACCTTTTTGATCTAGACTGGTGCTTTATCGTGTTGGTCTAGCTAATGTATTACAATAGGGTCACCCAAGCTGTAATGATAAGTGTTTGTTAAAACCGATCAGCAGTAAAACTATAAAAGAATTATTCTATACTAAAAAATTCCTTACTATGATCTCTGGGTTGAAGGCTATGTGATAATCATTGGACATGTCAATTTGTGACAGAAGTTTTCTCACACAATACCAAGTTTCTTACGGTATTGCTTGTTTATTATCGAAATGTGTCAAAAGTATCCAGTATTTTGTTGTTTATGAGGTAAAACCTAAGTACAGACAAATATTTCCCATTTCAGAATCTCAGGTTAACGATCTCCATTTTCCCTTCGTGTTACTGGCAGTCCGAAGATGGGTTCAACAAGCAATTGTGATTAGGAAAACTTCTTTAGTCGTGCTTTTTAACCACCAGATCTACGTGTTTTTTGATTTTGTTGTTACTGTGATAGGTTTTAATTCAACTCATTACTGTCCGAACTTCGGTCAGAGAATAAAACAGTAATTAGATGAAAAATGGCTTAAGGGTATATTTTATTATTTACTTTTTATTGTGGTTTCAACACATTAGGATTCAGTTAGATTTTCACTGGCCTTCCCATAACTGGTATGGTTTTTGAAAATAGCTATTCAATTATTTAATATTTTTTAACCATTATTCTTGTCATTTATTTGTCTAATGTATAGCGATTGGCTCATTCTTACTGTTGGCTAGCTTCCAATTATAGACAAGAAATGGTTGAATGGAAGTCTGATGAATTTCGTCGAAGTCATACTGTCAAAGTGCAACTTCCATTTACTAAGGTGTAGATCTTATATATTTCTATTAATTGTTGTCAAACTTTGATGACCCACATAATTTGGTTTATATATATTTATGTTCAGAAAAGCTTCATATTTATAACTTGACAATCAGGTGTACTAGTTGCAATGAAGTAGTATAAACCATATGGAAAGCTGGAACTGGTATTTTATGTTTTTTTTTCCTCAGTAAACGTGCATTCTTTCCTCTTAGTTCTGATTTCTGAGTGTTTTCGTAGATGCCCCTGAAAACTACGTAGTTTGACTAATTTGTGTTTTACTTTGAATTATGTCGCTATAATTAATGTATCATTTTTGGAGTTTTTATTAATTATGTTGGAACGTACGACTAAAGCTAGAATGCAGTGAATTTCCGTCTATCTTTAGTTTCTATAGAACTTGGATCTGTACTAATGGTTTTGGTAAACCGGCAACAAAATCCGATCAACACAAGCAGACTCCAATTCCATTTTTCCTGATTTTTTGTATACTAGATTGTTCGGATCCTGTATGTGGAGGTTTATATTTCCAAAATAATAAAAGCATAATAGAAAGCACTTAATGTCAAAACTCGGTATTTACTCATTTGATATACTTCAAAAAACTAAGTATATTTATCATCAAGGGTGTCAAAAACGTTTATTTCGTTAATAGTTGGTACTGTATGTGGTAAACAAGGGAACTTATTGCTCGTCAAGATGTTTTTTATGTATACTTCATGACAGCATTGTATGAACCAAAAATTTCAAGCATCTTTTCATCACTTGACTTTGATACTATCTTCTGTTGTGTACGTAAGGTTTCATATTTAATATGTTCTAGAGTTTTTATCAATATAGAAAATACAGTTGATATTGGTAAAAAGCATGGATCACATCATGATTTCGAAACCTCATGCATACTAGTTTACAATCCTGATGGAACTATGAGACTTATCTGGTAATAAAGTCTCGATTTTGTGTCAATCATTAGGTGTTGATGCCGTTTGGAGTGTAAATAACAGACATGCAACTCTCGTTACTTAGACAAATTACCTGACCAAGCCAGTTACCACATACTTATCTTTAAAATTATTGATGTGTAAGAAAGGTGAATATAGTTCGGTATCATGATTTTATTTTAAATTGCTATAATCTCTTATATTAGCCATCAACCGAAGACTTGAAGGCACTGGCTGATCGTAAACGTGCTCAAACTGAACGCTTATTGAGTGTGCATCGGAAACGTCAACAAAAACAAGTGAGCTAAACAACTTAGTTTCTCTAGCAACATATATTATAATTTTAGAATATTTGTTTGATGAATTTTTTCTCTCAAAACTTTTCATGTGATTTCTGAAAATTTTTACAGTTACATATTAAAAAGCAATTACCATTAAAGACTAAAAGTAGCTAAATTCTTGAACCTAATGAGAAACTGTATGATGAATACATATTTCGTAACTGTGATCGGTAAAAGGACATTTTGTGTAGGACGTTTACCTCTGAATGATTTTCGTTATCGCACTTATTTTTTGTAGTAATTTTTGTTTAGTATACAAGGCAATATAGAAGTTCCTTGTACAATAGGAGTGAGAAACATAGAGAGACTATAATTTATGGACGAGCCAGCCAGAAGCGCTTGAGGAATTTCAAGGTCACGGCACCAATTTAAGTACCTGATGATCACGTACGATCGGTTCATAACGGATTTTAGAGAGAACGTGATAATTAAGCGACCACAACAAATAGGACTACTAAGAAGTTCCTTTATTCGTGATTGTGGTAATCAAATGACTTGTGGACCTTGTGCAGACTACCCTGATGGTGTTGTTTTTCGATGTAATATGCGTTGGAGAAGGACGTCTGCTGGATTAGGATTATTCTCGCTCGATCCAGATTGAGAATAATGCAAATTATGACAATTGTTGCAGCAGTAACACTAGCTGCAGCTGGGTACTACAATATACACGAATGTTTGGAGAGCGTACAGATGCCTACATAGACTTTGTTATGTGCAGTGGCATTTTGTGGACCCGACAACCGGAGTGCACACAAAAAATATTCAAGCTATGTAGTCAAGGCTGAAAGAGTTTTTGCGACCTTATCATGGCTCCAGAGGCCGACTGTTATAGAGGCATATGAGGGATTTCCTCCACCGGATACATTACGATTTTAGAACCTCTGAACCTCTTTCTAACCTTGACAAGTTTTCGAACCATGTAAAAAAAGTTTATCCACTTTAATTCTTTGGTTTCGTATAATATATTTTTACCCTATACTGTTTTCTGATCGGCTAATATTTTTCAAAGTCACTTACGACTCGTTCAAAGGTTGTCCATAAATTAGTCTCGCCAGGGACATTGGTATTCATTTAGCAAAACCGACACTTCAACTACCGTAGTGCTTTTCTAGTACATGGTTTTCAAACATACAGTGCACACGATTTTGTAACTCGTAAATATATCGTAAACTGTTAACGACAAGTCCCTCTTCCTCCACCATTGTATTTATACCAGTTGTATATACCGTGGAAATTCTCATTTTAAATATCTAGTTGGTTCATCAGAAAACCAGATTAGTGGTTTCAAGTGTTTCTTCACTATTCTAATTCACAACTCATGTAATTGTTCGAGTAAAGTACAAGGTTTCAACGTGTCACAGTTTATAAATTTCAGTATTTTTGAAAGTAAGATATTGTCATAATGAAACTTTAAAATTGATTTTCAGTTTATGAATATGAAAATGTATGACATAATTGATGTGATTAAAGAAAACTAGATAAAAAACCATCAGACAACTTTAATTATTACCCTTTAAACATGTGCAGATCAGTTGCATAAAAAGTTACTATCCAAGGCCTCAGATGTTTTTGTTTTTCTCTTCATCTCAGCTTATGTAAAGGTTTGTATTTCTTCGTCGTCGATGTTAAGTACTGAGAATGATCAGTCTCTACTAGCATATGGGCATCCTGAGCGAATCGCTTTGATATAACCATTAGGTCACAAGTAATTTCAGTAAAGTTGGTTAGTGGCTGCAATGGGAACCACGACGCGCGTTTCTTACGATTTAGGACTCGTCAGCTGGTTGTGCCTGCATCTGATTGTTGTTGTTCATATAAGGACTCGAACTCGATACTTTTCATTTCAAACGTCTAACACGTTGTACACTGAGCAACTGAGTCCATATGGCTACTAGCTTGTGCAAAAGGTATGAGTTTTGTTTGTAAAGGTCTTCATTTTCCGGTTGTTGATGTTAAAATCTGAAACCCTCACAAACAAAATCTGTACCTTTTGCACAAGCTAGTAGCTGTTTGACCTAAGCAGGTCGATGGGCAACGCGTTGGGTGTTTTAAGCGAAAGAAACTGGGTTCAAGTCTCAGTATGCATTTGAACAGTGGAGGCAAATATACTCAGCTAGCGATTCCCAAATAGGACGATATGAGCGTTCTAGATCCTACTGCTAACCACCATTCAAATTTTAAAATCCTCATCCCTGCGGTTATCTTTTCAACCGAAATAAGATTCTTAGGACAGGTAATTCATATATTAATTACGTTTTTTCATAAATTAAATGTTATTTTACTCAACAACATTCAAAAATTGTAATATATAATTCTTTTTTTCATTTAAAGTTTGAATCAACTCAACAGCGGTTAGATAATCTTACTAAGGTAGAAAATTTGATGAAACAAGGCGATTCTCCTATTGTAAAGGTATCTGTTAGTTTGTTATTTTTCAAGTCCATTTTTTTATTTGCTCACGAAACAAATTATCACGCATTGACCTTTCGATATATCATTCATTGTTTCTGTTATTTCTCAATTTTTGTGTCAATTATGCATGTGTTCAGTACATTGTTCTTTTTGAAATGACGTCTCAATAATTTCTGTACAAACTCATCAGAAGAAATAATAGAATTCATGTCATATACATAAGCAATTGCTTGATATTTACCATCATACAAATCTCACAGTGTGCAGGACAGCTTGTCTATAGAGTGTAATTTCGTGCTTTTTCTTTGAATTGATGGGTCTCGTTTGGTCTACCCAATTATTAGCAAACAGATATAATTTCTTTTGGCTTGATTAGTTTTTAAACTTGAATCATCGTTGGAATCACATTTATTATCGAACTAGTAGTTGCCTTCGAAACAGCTCCTCCTTTATTTTAATTGCAAAATCAAGGATTTTTAGTTTATATCAACCAATATTATACCAATCGTATTAAGACTATTTATTTTTAAAAAATACTTATTTAACGTGTGTTTGATCCAATATTTATGAAGGGTGGAACTAATAACTGATTATATATATTTTTCTGCATATAATGAGTGAATTATGAAAGTCTTTCTTACAAAACTACTTATAAAACAATCTACAGTGGATATTTATAGCAATTATATTGTATACGAATACCCAGTTCAAAAATTCTAACCATTATAATTAATGTATGGCAGATTAACATGCTTAAATTTCCAATGATTAGTATACTAGTGTCATCATCAAAAAGTTTTCATTACTACACTGGTCTATTTCCTCTAGTTAGGTGAGGGGGGAGAAAAGAACAGAGGTAGTTCTGTTCACTTACTGAAGTCAGAGTAGCCATACCTCAGCATGGCGCACAAAAGTATTAAATATTAAGACCAGAAAAAGTATATCTGCTATTCTCGGTGATAAGTCTGTTCCCATTAAAGTTTATGAACCCATATTGTATCAGTCCCAAATTTCTGACTTTTATAGTACTGGTGACTAGTTAAGAAAGCGATAGGAGGATCTTAGATACACTGTCAGACGGAAAGCGATTTTACGGAGAAATGGGCAGATTGCTTTGAGTAATTTATCATGATAGCGTAAATATCTGTATGAACTGGTAACAATGAGTTGCCTTTTTGAAAAAAATATTCAGTCGTTTTTTTATCAGTATGTCTTCTAGGAATGTTCATAAGCTATTCATTTTCCTCTTAATAAAAAAATACAATTTTTGGTTAGGGAGAAATGTACTAGTGTATCTGTTCTTAGCGGGTTAAGAATCTTTACTTTTAAAAATCATTCATGACAGTGGTATGTTATGTGTGGTCACTTGAGTAGTGTTAAATGTAATAAATTTCCAAATTAGGTTTAAGAATTGCAAGTCATTAGATCCCTACTCAATGGCCTAACGGCATTGGGCTTGCTCGACATTTCTTCAATAAGTATGAGGCTTTAGAGTAATATGAAACAGCTATATAGTAGTTCTTAGTTTTCCATTGTTCTGCAAGCGAGTCAGTTTCCCATGGAGGTTATCTTCACATTTGACACAATTCTATAAACCACTTAGCTTTTTCTTTTAATCGTTACCTTCAATTAATAACCGTCTTCCGAACTATTCCTGCTTCGGTTTGGGCACCCTGGCAGTACCATGGCCCATACGCAAATCAAGTGACTTGTTTGACGCATATGTATTCGGTGCCCCTTTGTGCCAATATTTATGTGTTCAAATAAAATAAATCCGTACCATTAGCATAAATTTATTCACTTTGACAAATGAGTAAATGGATTTCAGTTTAATGAGTCTTGAGTAGTGTGTCTCATCATAATCTTGCAGAACATACGATTGGCAGTTTTGTATATTTCATATTCACAGTACTATATTTTATCTTATTTTTTTGCTGTATGGTAATTGTGTAGTGAAATATTTTTTATTTGTTTATACTTCCACAAAAAACATGAAATATGTTCATTAGTTGATGTTTATTAATCGTTTTTGTTCGTGATGATTTCAGCGAATTTCGTACAATTTTTAGTCTGCACAAATGTTAAATCAACTTATTATTTATAGCCTCATTCATATTTTTCTTCCTTTTTGTATCGTACGCCACGCTATCTGTTAATAATAGATAATGTGAGTATATTTAATCGTTTTCTAAAGATTGTTTGCTGTAACAAATGTTGTTCCTTTCTCTCAATCAATTTTCCTATTCGTTTGTACTCCTATCTCGATGTTTTTGTTCTATTCTCTCATTCGTATTAATTTTAGTGTATCCTCCGAATTCTAAAATTTGTGCAAATTTGTCAAAACTTTTTTGTTTTGTGAGGTTTGAATATTCTCGACACTCAGAGCCTAATTTATTTTCGTTGATTGTTCAATCTCGCGATTGACATATACAGTTTCTGCATTCTCATCCGAAATAGTTGCTCTGATTAAACACGATTCATTTATTTAAAGTGTACATTTTCTCTGCAAGTGTCCCTTTAGTGGCTTAATTGAAATTGAGACTACTTCACAATACATGATTTGTAAGTTTTCAACGAATACTTTATTTTCAATAAGAGTACCGTAGTTTCAGAAAAATTTCGTATTTCGAGATTTTTACATATAACTATATGGTGCAGTCAGATAGAATCCTCGTGCGTACTCGGGGAGATTTCTATTGGAAACTCATTTTTTTAATGATATACTATTATTCAGATAACATAAGATTATCTTTTTGTGACAATGTTTACTCCATATTTTAGTCAATTAAAATATTGAAGTTACTAGTAGAATTTCCAGAATGTTTATATCTATCAGTTGTTACTTTACATAAATAAATATTTCTTTTAAAATGTAGTGTAACATATATTTCCACTGATTTTCAATTTTTCCACGTCAATCCCTTCATTTCCCTACAGCAAATTCTTTCCAACTTAGGTTTGTCAAATGCGACAGATTTAAGTCATGAAATTAACGCATGTCATAAAATTATGGAAAAGCTACAAATTCAACTTAACCCTAGTAAAATCGAGTCTACGTCATCTATAGAAAAGATTGAAGCGAATAGTTATGGTAATGATAATCAAAATGGTAATGATGAAAAAGAATCGATCTGTTTTGATTCTGTTGATGAAAGTCAAGAAGATGGGAAATTTAAATCGTCTTATTCATATTTATTAGAAATGATGAATGCTGTTTACACAAATTCATTTAATACGGTAACTAACGAATTAACTGGTCGATATAAACGTGCTGCTGAATTATTAATCTCGCAATCATTACCGTCTGCTGTACAAACACAAATGTCTCTGAATACAAGTTCAAGTGACTGTAAGTTCACTGAGGCTAAACTTCGTCATGTAAGTTGTTTATTTGTCGAAATAACAAATTTTAAGTAGCTCCTTTCATAATTCCTACTGTCGTTTTCCTTGAAATGAATAATCCAACCCAGCTATCATTTCATTCATCTTGTACGTGAAGTGTGCCCATGAACAGTGATTTCTGGCTCCCTTGTTTATTATAAATTAAAGATACTTAAAACCAATGGAGCACAACTTTGACTCGATTTGTCTCATATATTTGAAGTTATTATCTAATCTCTACCTAGTCATCTTTCATGTCTCTCCCAATGATGTAATCAGCTGATTTCAGTCCATGATTAGAGAAATATGACTAGGTGATCACCAACGCTAACCATACTTACGTCTCGTTTTACCAAGTTAAAGGACTAACCAAATATACGCAATAGGTACCGGTCTCAATTCAGTTATATTTAGATTCTGACTGATGGATAGTTTTATCGACTTTTGATGTCTATAAATGCACATTAATTATTAGTTTGTAAACTGTTGTGACTTTTTAGCGCATCGAAATGGCACGAGAAATCGAATTTATAAATGGTGAAGATTTTTGTGTAAGTATTCTTTGAAATGTCAACTTTTATTTTATTATTATTACCATTATTACTATTATTATTATTATTATTATTATTATTATTATTATTGTTATTACTATTATTATTATTACTATTATTTACTACGTCGCTTTTTCACTCCCTTTATTCCCAAATTGTGTAACCTTACTTTTCAACTTATGCAGTAGCTCGCCCATGGTGGAAACTCTGTCCTATCTAAACGATCTCCAGTCACTGTCTGGTTGAAAGTGAATGCTTCCACCGATAATGAGTACTGAAGCAGTCTTTCTGAAACCGCGTACACCGTTCAAGCTGGCTTCCTTCAACGTTCGCACACTAATGCAGATCGGACAACAGATGGGGCTGGCTATGTCTTTAGAAAGCCTTAATGTTGATGTTTGCTGTCTATCCGAGACCCGTATTCAAGACCCTAGTGAAGTACTACAAATTCGCTCTCCATCTGTCGCTTCGAAAAGCTTGTTTCACGTGCGCTTATCCGGGGACTCTGTGGCATCTTCGTCTGGTCTTGCAGGCGTTGGTGTTGCACTAAGCGCTAGAGCTGAGGCAGCACTAATCGATTGGATCCCCATTAACAGTCGGTTATGTGCTGTTAGATTAGAGAGTTCCATCAAAGTGAGAAGAAACCGGCGTGAGAAACGGTGTCTTTTCGTCATCTCCGCCTATGCCCCGACAGATTACAGCCCGGATGCAATCAAGGATGAGTTTTACCACCAGTTAACAGTTCTTCTCCAGAAAGCGCGTTCGACAGATATTGTAGTATTAGCTGGAGACTTGAATGCTCAGGTCGGGCGTCTAGGCACAGAAGAGAGTCGTTTAGGTGGCCGATGGGGACTTGTTGGTCGCAGGACAGATAACGGGGACCGTTTGCTGCAACTGTGCACAGACCACAACCTGTTTCTGGCTAGCACTAACTTCCGGCACAGTCATCGCCGGTGTGCCACCTGGCGTCTTCCCTCTGCATCTCAAGCCTGGACTCAGATTGATCACATCGCGATCAGCTACCGCTGGCGTGATTGTGTACAAGACTGCCGCTCCTTTTGGAGTATCTATCTGGAGTCTGATCATGCGCTGGTCTGCGCCAATCTCACCTTGCTTTTCAGTGGCCGAAGGATTGACCACCACCAACGGATTGATGTTAGTAAACTGGCTGCAACATCTGTTGCAAGTAAGTATCGAGCGGAGCTAGCTTCTAGGCTAGCTACCATCCCACCGAAAAGTATAGATGAGCATTGGTCGCATCTTCACGACGCCATGAAAATGGCGAGTAAAGCCGCTTGCGGCTTCGCGAAACGTCCCGCTTACAAGCACTGGGTTTCTTCTGGCTCCTTACAACTGATGGAAGCCCGTCGGTCTACTCCAGGTGACCGTGAGTTTGACCACAAACGAAGGCTGTTACGTAATGAAATCGGGCAAAGCTTGCGTAAGGACCGGGAAGCCTGGTGGTCGGAGCGTGCTAATGAGATGGAAGCAGCAGCTGCATCTGGTAACTGCCGGAAGTTCTTCCAACTCATCCGAGCCACTGGCAGCAAGAAGTCTGGTGTGAGTGAAACAATCTACGAGGATGACGGGATGCCAATCACTAACATCTCTCGACGTCTTGGACGATGGGCGGAATTCTTCGAAGGGCAGTTCAACTGGCCTGCTGCTCCGGCAACATCAACCAGCTTGCCCTGCCCCCCATGGCCGGTGACGACTGATCCACCAAACGAGGCGGAAGTCCGCAAGGAACTCCAACTCTTGAAACGTTACAAATCACCTGGCCCAGATGACTTACCTCCGGCTCTTTTTAAAGATGGTGGTGACTTTCTGACTAAGGAATTGACTGTATTGTTTGGAAAGGTTTGGGAGCAAGAAAATGTTCCAATATCTTGGAATGAGTCAATAGTCGTCCCTATCTTTAAAAAGGGTTCACGTTGTTCCTGCAATAACTATCGAGGGATAAGTCTACTTTCGATTGCGTCCAAACTATTGGCTTCTATCATTCTTCGTAGGTTGTTTAAAACCCGAGAACGATTGACTCGCGAGGAGCAGGCTGGTTTTCGTTCTGGTCGAGGAAGCATTGATCACATCTTCACCCTCCGCCAAATGTTAGAACACCGTCATACTTATCGCAGGCCAACAATCGTAGTGTTTCTTGATATCAGGGCGGCCTTCGATTCGTTGGACAGGACTGTTCTCTGGGATTGTCTATTGAAGAAGGGTGTGCCTAAGAAGTTCATTAACATCTTAAAGGCCCTGTATACGAACACCTCAGGCAGAGTGAGGGCATACAACCACCTTTCTCCCTTGTTTCATTCGAGCAGTGGGGTTAGGCAGGGTTGTCCGATCTCACCATTCCTCTTCAACTTTGCCATCGATGACATCCTGGAAACAGCTCTGATAGATGTAAGTAATGGCGGTGTGAATATGTTGCCTGGAGAACGACTTCTCGACCTTGAGTATGCGGATGATATTGTCTTACTGTGCGATAATGCCCAAGGCATGCAATCCGCACTTAATCAGTTGGCAATCAGTGTCCGCAGGTACGGTATGTCCTTTGCACCCTACAAGTGCAAAGTACTCCTACAAGACTGGCGGGATTCTCATCCTGCACTCACCCTATATGGTGAGCAGATTGAAGTAGTTGAGAAGTTCGTGTATCTAGGTAGCTATATAAGTGCTGGTGGTGGCGTGAGTGATAAGATTGATGCACGCATAATGAAAGCCAGAGCGGCTTATGCCAATCTGGGCCATCTTTGGGGCCTTCGTGATGTTAGTCTGGCTGTAAAAGGTCGGATCTACAATGCGTCGGTGAGAGCAGTTTTGCTCTATGCTTGTGAAACCTGGCCTCTCCGAGTTGAGGATGTTAGACGTCTCTGTGTGTTCGATCATCGTTGTCTCCAAAGGATTGCTGACATCCAGTGGCAACACCATGTTAGTAATGCAGAGGTTCGGCATCGTGTTCGGGCGCAGAGACGATAACTCAATTGGTGTCACCATCTTGAAACACTGACTTCGGTGGTTTGGACATGTTTTACGAATGTCGTCCCAGAGACTTCCACGTCGTGCATTATTTGCCGACTTTGGGACTGGTTGGAAAAAGCGGTGAGGAGGTCAGTGTATGACATGGTGTTGTGGCATGAAAGAAAACTGCAAAGGGCTAGCTTCCGTTGGTCCTTCACGACTCCCTGGCTGGGGTCCGAGAGATGGTGCAACACAGTGGCTAGAGACGTTATCGGATATGTCTCAGAATAGAAGCCAGTGGCGATCCTGCTGCAACCTTCTTTTACTTTCTACATAAAGAGTGGTCCTAACTTTCTTAACTGAAAGTGTCTTCTGGTTGTACATTTTAGTTCGCGTTTCTTTTCATCCTTTCTCTTCCTACTTTCATTATTTTGTGTGGCGCATATGTATCTGGTGCCCTTTTGTACCAATATATATGTGTTTAAATAAAAAAATGAATTCATAGTCGTATTAGTTAAAATTAGTTGCAATGTATTAAATCTATATTTCTTCATTGTATTGACGTGGCAATACGTAAATTTTTCATGTATTATTATTGAATGTAAATACTTCATTTGCAAAATGTCAATCAATCGTCTCAAACTTCCCTGTCTCTTCATTTCGAAAACAATCATTTACTGTTCTCGTTCTCTCCTCTTCGGTCTTCCTAACATTCTGATGCCAGGTATTTCATTTTTGATATATGATACATGTATATATGTATCATACAATATCAGTAGCACACACCACACCTTTAGGTAGAAAACACTATTTAAACATTTTCGTCCTACTTATGTATAGTCATTTATGAAAAAAACCCGGATTCTCATTTTCCGATATGATCTATCTAGATTATTAAGTATCAGTAACACCCTATTGATCCAAAAAATCTCATTTTATTACACCTTGCTTTCTGATTAACAGCTGTGGTTAAACTCACTAAGAGATCGTCGGGTGTATGTATCGAAGAAACGAGCTCAACGTCAAAGTCGCGTAGACTTAGCAACACAGATAGGCCTTCATACAAATGACCAGTTTGATATTGGATCTGATCCGGATAATTTTACTATTCAGTCTAGATCTACACTTGGTACACAACCAGGTATTTCCGCTAATAATTCTGGACGTAATGGATTGAGCAGTGATTCTACAAATCCTGGGTAATTAAGTTACTGTTTTTTGCTTTTATTCACAACTTTATGATCGAAGTGACTTGATTCTTTTGTTTTTTTCGAGAGAACGCGAACCGGCAAGATTATTTTTTGTATTGTTGTGTTGTCTAAGCTGTAAATATCATTGTCTTTCTAAATAACATAATTAACACAAGTTTGTCTAGTTGAACTTGATTATGATTAGTTAGTTGACTTTCTCTTCAGTATATTTCCAATCTTTGATTCCATACGTATACTGGATTAGCTATTTTATATGTACACTAATAGATTGTGCTCATATTATATATTTATTAACTGTTGACTAACAAAACTATCAAGAAAGAGTACATATTTCTTTGATAGTTTGATTTGTAATTAATGTTCGACTTATTTTTGGATTTTTATTTAGCTTTTTGTTTGTTTATATTAAGTCACCATTATCGAAAACTTCATTAATTTAGTTTTTACGTCTAAGATATGTATGTCATGTTTAATAAGATAATACGTTCATATTGCATCTATATTTAAGTTGAACAGTAGTGACTAGGTACAATGTAGTCAAGTACACATCAATGGTTAAATATCAATTACTCCATGTATTTATATGGGCTTACAAATCTATCTTTTTGTTTTTATCATTATGAGATTATAATTCTCATCAGCATAAGTTGATATGTAAATCTATTGCTATGAATCGATTTGTTAGTGCAGTTGCATAACAATTAACAAGTTTTCGAACTAAGGTCTTTTACAATTTCCCAGAAGTAACTGCTACACTTGGTATCCAAATCAAACAAGTTAGAGCGGATTCCCAACCTATATTATAATGATAAATCTTTTTAGAAGAGCCAACAAGATCACTTCAGAAGAGGACAAACAAAAAGAACAAAGGAATGTAATTGGTATCTTACAATTTATTAATTTTCCTATGAAGGTTATTAGAAATGTATTAAAACAAGACAGTTCAGTACGTAATAATAGTAATTCCAACGAAACGCCATCGATTGGTACTGCAGTTTTACCATACCGTCATGGCACAACAGAAGAACTCCAAAGGATCTTAAAACAACACAATTAAAGTATATTACAAAACAACGAACACACTTCGAAATACTGTAGTTCGATTTCAAAAAAAATCCCATTCATGTCTACACAGAACTGCGTCTACAAATTAGGTTGTGTCGATTGTGCTGCCTTTTATATCGGAGAGTCATCTCGCGAAATCTTGACTCGTACCAAAGAACATATTAGGTACACAAAGAAAACTGGATAGACTTCAAATTAAATCTGCAATAGCAGTTCACGCCATTTTCAACAATCACCAAATCGATCTCAAAAATATCACAATATTACAGAAAGGCTTTTCCAATTACAAAGAAACGAGAGTAGCTGAAGCGTTCCATATAAGGCTTAATCCTACTGCTCCCAATAGAAAGGACGGTCTTACCAGACATCCTACTTGAACTATCTATCCTAGTCGTCACCTTGTCTGATATTATTTACAATTCACGCTATTACCTTACAAATTAAACTCTATTTCTTGTCATTATAAAGGTCACACATTTTTCATCCTTAACACTGCACACATACACACACAAATTTACATACATGTCGCTTATGAATCACCTTGACCGAAATGACATGACATTAATTTATTCAGACCTATTTTTTTGATTGATCGCACCTAATATTTGTGTTGTTTTGTTGTACTATTTAAGCTTGGGTTAGTGCTAATTCGGTTATTTATTCTCTGAAGAAATGGCTTACTCTGAGTCACGAAACGTCAGAAAATCTAATTTTCCTACTCATTGGGATATTACAAATATATTACTTATTTATAGCAATCTACCCAATGCTCAATTTATTCGAAATTATCAAATCAAAACTTGGTAATGATACCTACTATATTATAATGGTTTAAAGTTAGGTCTTAAAGCAGCTCAACCATGTTAGCTCATTTACCAGGTACTTGGCTTTAAACCGCACTCGTAGGGTGCCGGATGGTGAAAATGTTCAGTTGCTTAAACTGTGACGTTTTGTGAAACATTGATTTACTACTAGAAATTTGAATCAATATCACGTACCATATTACCAGTCGGACCAGTAACTTATTTAATGAATTTATGTATTGACCAATGAACAATAAGCAAGGGCTCGACCGTTGTTGCTACCTTGACGTGGTGGTCGGGCTTGCCTATCGTGATGATTCAATCGAGCTATACCGGCTGGAACAATCGCTCCTCAAGGTCCTACCATGCCAGACAGGTCGATATGAGAACGGTAAGACTAAAAGCAGCAAACCCAAAGTCCGAAGGCGTACTGTTGACTGTACAGAGGTGTGACAGCAGTAATGTGCTTCCTTCAGACAACCAGCATAACAGCGATGCTGTCTTCCCACAAAGTGGGGTGGGGTTAGAAAAGGTCGACCCTGAAATTACACACCTCGCCTTATCCCACGGATATCCGTCTCCGGTGGTAAGGTCCTTTGAAGAACGGAGCTAACACAAAAAGTACCCACAAAAGGTCGTGTGTGACCGACCTCCAGCAGTTTTCCCTTGGGCACCACAGTCACGCTCTCATGCCACTAAGACCACTTCTATTCCGATTCCTTTTTCAGGTACCTCTAGAAGAACCCTTCCACGATGTGGACAACCGGGAAGTGATAACTGCCCTTATACCTCTAACAGCACTCAACATCACTGTATTCATAAGCAATCTCCTTCAATTCCTCTTATTCCTTCTACCTCGACTTTCAACACTAAACTTTCTCCTTCGGCTTCTTCCTCAAGTGTCACCATGGTCAACGATTCTAGTGCGCAAAACACTGTCTCACGTCTACTAAAACCTCGCTCCAAACTACACATTTGAGCCTTCAACATACGCACCGTAAGTCAAATCGGCCAACAGGCCTCCTTGGCTAATACCCTAGAATCTCGTACCATTGATGTATGCCGTGTCTCCGAAACACGCATACAGGATCTTAGTGTGGTCATTCATTTGACCTCACCTCGCCAAAATAGAGAGCCAAAGAGATACAGGCTCCGTGTATCTGGCGACCCGTTGGCTAGTTCTCGTGGACTTGCAGGTGTTGGCATAGCACTAAGTACAAGGGCAGAACAGGCACTACTAGAATGGATCCCCGTTAACAGTCGCCTGTGTGCTGTCTGGCTAAATGGCTCCGTAAGAACTCGGAAGGATAGGGACACACGTCGTTGCCTTTTCGTCGTTTCTGTCTACGCTCCCACTGACTGAAGCCCGGATGAAGTGAGAGATGACTTTTACAGAAAGCTCTCTGAAGTTCTTTAAAAAGTTAAGCGCTCAGACATAGTGCTCGTAGTGGGTGACTTTAATGCCCAGGTAAGCAGCTTAAATCAAACAGAAAGACATTTAGGTGGGTGTTTTAGTATTCCGGCTCAACGAACGGATAATGGTAATCGTCTGTTGCAACTATGCTCAGACAATCGTTTATTTTTAGCAAGCACTAATTTTAAGCATAAGGAGAGACATCGTCTAACATGGCGACCACCTGCACCAAACCAACGATGAACTAAAATAGACCATATTGTCATCAGTCATCGTTGGAGAGGCTCGATAGAAGACTTTCACTCGTATTGGAATACATGTTTAGACTTTGATCATGCTTCAGTACGAGTACGCATTAGTTTGAGCCACATGGGATGCAGAAAAACCACATTAAGAAGACCCATTAGAATTGAACTGAGGGAAAAAAGCCAAAAGTGAGTTCTAGAAACAACTGAGTCCACATCTAGGCAGTTCTGTAAACGAGGCTGACCCAAATGTTGCTTGGAAAGATATACGAACAGCTGTGGAAACAGCAATAACATCTATTAGTAATTTAAACCAAAGGGTTACAAAAAACCAATGGATTTCTTCTAAGTATACTTCACTGAAGGATTCTCGTAAACTCATCCCATCAGGCTCTGAACATGACGAAGAGCGTAAACAAATTAGATCTAGGTTAATTAAAAGCCTAAGGAACGATCGTGAGCAGTAGTGGGCAACAAAAGCAAAAGAGATGGAAAAGGCAGCGGCTATAGGCAACGCCAGGCAACTCTTCAGACTAATAAAAGAAACCGGAATTAATAAGTCAAGTGTAAGTGAGACAATCTCGGAAAAAGACGGAACCCTTATTTGGTCTCCGCCCAGACGTTTAGAACGATGGGCGGAACACTTTAGGGAGCAGTTTAGCTGGCCTTCAGCTACTGCACAACTACCCACTATTCCCAGACAGTCTGAATGGAACATTGAAGTAGGCCCCCCGACCCTACTTGAAGTTTAAAAGGCTATAAGTAATCTGAAACGAGGAAGAGCAGCTGGTCCAGATGGATTGGCTCCAGAGGTCTTTAAATATGGTGGTCCAATTGTAGCGATTAGGTTGACTAATATTCTGGCTAAAATCTGGGAAACGGACGTAATTCCATCTGACTGGTCACAAAATCTGATTGTCCCAACATATAAGAAGGGGCCAAAATCATCCTGTGATAACCATAGAGGGATTAGTCTGACTAACATAGCATCTAAAATACTAGCCTCAATAATTATCGGGCGCCTAACTAAGACTCAAGAACTCCAAACACGAGGAAATCAGGCTGGCTTCAGACCTGGTCGTGGCTGTATCGATCACATATTCACCATTCGTCAAGTTTTAGAGCACAGACATGCTTATCGGCGTCCGACAATGATAGTTTTTCTTGACTTAAAAGCAGCATTTGACTCTGTAGACCGAGAGGTTCTGTGGCAGTGTCTGTCATTGAAAGGTGTACCTGAGAAGTACATAAACCTTGTGAAGGCTCTTTACTCGAACACTATCAGTCGAGTGAGAGCTTATGGCGAACTGTCATATGATTTTACAACCTCAAGTGGTGTCCGTCAAGGCTGTCCACTATCCCCATTTTTGTTTAACTTCATTATAGACCTGTTGCTGGAAATAACACTCTCGTCGACTGAATTTTCAGGAATTGATCTTCTACCAGGAGGTTCACTTATCGACTTAGAATACGCAGATGACATAGTCCTGTTCTGTGAAGACACTGGCAAAATGCAGAGTCTTCTGTTAGAACTGAGTAATAATGCCAGGATGTTTGGGATGCGTTTCTCCCCATCCAAATGTAAATTGTTACTCCAGGACTGGCCTGCGTCAACACTCGAACTAAGGATAGGGAGTGAAGTAGTCGAACGCGTCGACAACTTCACTTATCTTGGAAGTCTGATCAGCCCTAATGGGTTGGTGTCAGACGAAATCTCAGCACGGATTCAGAAGGCTCGTTTGGCTTTTGCCAACTTACGTCACCTATGGCGAAGACGAGATATCCGTCTATCAATTAAGGGACGAGTATACTGCGCATCAGTTCGCTCTGTTCTACTTTACGGCTGTGAAACATGGCCATTAAGAGTAGAAGATACTCGTAGGTTACTAGTATTTGACCACAGATGCCTTAGAAATATTGCTCGCATCTGCTGGGATCACGGGGTGAGTAATGGTGAGATTAGACACAGGGTATTAGGGAATGATGGTAAATCAGTTGATGAGGTCATAAATCTTCATCGACTAGTGTAGGGGATGGTTGGAAGAAAGTTAGTGGCGGCCAAACCAAAACGTGGTATCAGTGCTTGAAGTCACCAACTTCTAGTCTGAGTCATGTTGGTAGATGCAGACTATTTGGTTGGGGTCCGCGTGACTATCGTAACCAATGGTTGGAGACTCTAGGTGACATGGCTCAGAATCGATCACAATTGCGTAGGTGTATACACTCTCTGTCTTCCCTTAATCATTGAGATTAAAATTGGTTCATAAGTTTTTTCCTTCCTATACTATATCCTTAAATACAACCTTTCTTTATATACTACCACCACTAAATTAATTACTTCTATGAATTCGGTGTTCATCTTGTTGTGCTAACGAGGTATGGCAACTTGGACTGATGCATATATGTGCCTGGTCCTACGTTGTCACTGACTGACTGACTGCTCGAAGCTTATTGATCTCCGAGCTCCTAACTTAGTAGCCGATTGAAAAATGAAGACAGCAAACAGACTAGTTTTCTGTTTTACTCAATTCCATTATGATTCAAAACACATGCAATAATATATTTGAAATGTCTGACCATACAGCACACCAAATAAGAATTTTCATTAAGCACAGTCATATAAATGGTAAAAGGTTGAAGAAACTACACAGTTAATCAGCAGTAATTTAAGAATAATAGAACATTACGATAGTCAAAAAGTCCAGTGAAAGCTTACAGTAAGAGAAACATGGAAATGCAACAATGAAGTTATCTACAAATTATACAATACAGATACAAATAATAGTAATCCAAAAAATAGCGTGGAAAGTTCCAAGTTTTCTAATATTCGTCCCATTACACGACAAACTAAATTGAAGTGGAGTTCGATCCAGCGACTTAGGGTCTGAAGATCGACCATTAAGCTACTGCTCTGTTAGATAACTTAAGGTAACATTTATTTTGGTTTTTGAGGTATGCTTGTGCATTGCTCAGATTTGTTTCTTAGACATTGTAGCCTGTTTATTTATTAACGTTAATTAACATTGGTATATTTTGTATGTCCGGTTGCACTCCATTGAGTTTGTGAGTTATTTTTTACTTTTATTATTCATAGAATATATAGGCCTGATGATGATAAATATGATGATTCCAAAAAAGTTTTAACAGAACGTCGTCGTATGCAGCTGGAAAAAATACGTGCTATGGCAGCTGAATTAAAACCATCAAGAGGTCGTTCTCGAGGAAATGGACGCGGTATTCGCCCGGGTGCTGCATCTCGGGGATCTTTGAAACCACGTGGCCGTTGTCGAAGTTTACGTACTGAGGTTTGTTACTTTTACCGGTTACGTAATGTGACGTTTTTTGTCTGACACCAATAATAATAACTCTAGCCCAACACACTATATATATTCGTACCTAACCAAATCTTCAGAAGATCAGTTAAATCATGTCGGATACTTGTGAGTTTACAATTATATGAAGAAAAATTATTACCAAAACAACGAACTGATAGATAAACCATAAAAAATAAACTAATTTCTTTGAAGATTAGCTACTCAAATGTCACTTTTTTCTTTCTAACAAATAAAAATGTTATTAGAAGGGGTTTTGTGGAGATTTTAGTAATTTTATAGAGTTGAGATCGTGAGTCAATTGAAGCTAGACCACCATGGAAAACCTGGAAGCACTGACTCCATGAGGTATTTCCTGGAGTTCTAGTGAGAAGCAGTAACCAGTGGAGTTCAACCAGGTCTGTTATGAGATAGTAACTCACTGATGACATTGGTGAATGGTTGCTCATTTTCGTGGATCAGTTGAAGTTAGACATTAACACCGTTGGATGCCGGCTCAGTGGTCTATCGGTTAAGGGCTCTGGCTCGAAACTGGTAGGTCCTGGGTTCGAATCTCGCGAGTGCGGGATCGTGGATGCGCACTGCTGAGGAGTCCCATAATAGAACGAAACGGCCGTCCAGAGTTTTCAGGTTTTCCATGGTGGTCTAGCTTCAATTGACTCACGATCTCAACTCTATAAAATAAAAATGTTATTCATAAATTATCATACATTCGAAGTCTTAAGGAAAAAACTCCCAATGCTTTAAATAGTACTTCTGTTGTAGAGCGGTGTCTTAGTGATTAAGATGTCTCCAGTTCAAACCCCGCCTCACCTACTTCAGTTTGGGAAATTGGATAGTATCATTAGTCGTCAAACTTAAAATATGGCTCCTAGACGAGTACCTGGTGAATGAGCTAATTTGTCTATTATTTATTTACAATTATAATCACTGAGTATGTATCCATTATAAAACTAATTTTATGCTTTTTATCACTGAACTGCAAATACTTACATTAATGTGGTTTCTTTAAAATCTTTTCAAATGAAAAATGTCGACTTTCATTAGAATGATAGTCGTGTTTCTCCTCTGGAAACAAATGCTGTTGCTTATGAGAACGACACATTAGACGATGAAAATTCTGATTTATTGGTTTTTGACGAGTCAGTGGAAATGGAACAGATTAACTCTTCAAATAGTTTAAATCGTCTATGGGATCCTGATGCTGATGAAAATACAAACGAAGATTCCAGTCTATCCATTGTCACAAAAAAGACTAACGTGATATCTGATTATCGTACTGATAATACAGGTGATGAAAGTGAAAATGAACGAGATCAGTTGGCAGTTATTGACAGTCTATTGGCACTTTACGACCCAGAAGCTTCAAAGTAGGTTCCATCAATCTTATATGTGTTTTCGTACTACTTTTTGCGACTATTTACACACATGTATCCATAAAATGCTATGCAATTCCCTTTTATACCAACGGAATTTCAGGAGCTTCCTAATTTGAAGATAATTACTTCTGGAAGAACTACTGAAGACCAGAGGACACAGGTCAGCTTTTGGGTCGTAGTATGGGTCTCATCTGCAATCTGAGGTGATATGAAATAAATTAAAGATAAATTCATTCCATGTGTGGTGTATGCTGTTTATGTTAACAGATATAAGTAGTATGTAACACCAATCAGAAGTGGAATGGCTGACGCAGAAGATTTAGAAAATTGAACTAAAGAGAACAGAAGTGTAAACACAAAGCTATTATTAATAAGAGCAGAAAAGAAAGAGTCATATAATTCATTTAAATGACAACTGAAGGAAGATGTGCAAATAATGCATTTAATGTATGGTTAGCGTATTTTATGAAAGCACTCAGTATTTTTGCATTAAACTAGAAACTGGTTTCTCCAACCTGTGTTTTCGTTCACACCGCATGTACGAAATAGACATTTTTGTGTATTTTGGGATTTAGTATATCACACGCGAATGGGTTATTCTTTCATTTATTTATTTGAACACGTAAGCACTGGTACAAGGGGGTATCAAATGTATATACATCATGCAATAAAAATGAGGTTGTGAAGAGATAGAGAAAGCTAAGTGAACATAATAAAAAACGATGAATATAAATGAGTGTATGAGAGTGAAATAATAATCATAATGGTAGAAGCAATGTAGGTAGGGAAAATACAACCGAAAAGAATTTTCTTAGTTCAAGAAGTTACTCTCTTTTTTATGAAGAAAGTTACGGCAGAATCATCACTGGCTTCTATTCTGAACGAATTGTGAAACCATGTGTTGCACTACGACCAAGGAATTGTGTCGGACCAACAAAACCAGTCCTGTGCAGCTTTTTTTCATACCACAGCACCATGCCATGCATTGACAACCTCCGTTTTATTCAACCGGTCCCAGCGTCGACAAATAATGCATGACATTTACTTCGTCGGGGTGACTTTCGTAGTACATGCTCAAGCCACTGATGTCGGTGTTTCAAGATGGTGACATCAATTAAAATATCGTCGTTGTGCCTCGAAAATGCGTTGCTGAACCTCTGCATTACTAACATGGTGTTGCCACTGGATGTCAGCAATCCTTTGGACACAACGATGATCAGGCACAGAGAGTGGTCTAACAATCTCAATTCGGAGAGGCCAGGTTTGACAAACATAAAGCAAAACTGCTCTTACCGACGCATTGTGGATCTGATCTTTAGCAGGTAAACTATTATCACGAAGACATAAGTCTATCTGCTCACTAGCAAGAGTGAGAGGGTGTACAGGGTCTTGTAGAAGTACTTTGCACTTCGAAGGCGCAAAGCACACACCATACCTACAGACACTGATTAGGTGTGGATTGGATAGCTGGGGTATCATCGCACAGTAAGACAATATCTTCCGCATACTCAAGGTCGAGAAGTCATTCTCGAGGCAACCATTAAACACCACCATTACCTACATCCATCAGAGCTGTTCTCATAACGTCATCGATGACAAAGTTGAAGAGGAATGGTGAGATTAGGCGACCCTACCTAATCTCACTGCCTAAATGAAACAGTTGAGAGAGGTAGTTTTATGCCCTCACTCTGTCTGCGGTGTTTGTATACAGTGCTTTCAAGATATTAGTAAACTTCTCAGGCACATCCTTCCTCAATACACAATCCTAAGGGACGGTCCTATCCAATTAGGTGAAGCCGGGGTCATATTTCGACCTTGCCAGTTATTTGCTTAAAACCATGACTGTTTTTATATGGACATTTGTGTATAATTGTACGTATGTCTATATGCTTACTTGCATCTTTCATATCTATAAATATTGAGTCACACTTTAATTAAATGGAGTCAACATGCTTACCTTCTCCGCTTTTCTTTCATGTTTCTCATTTTGATTTCAGTCTGAGTAAACGAATACCTGAAATAAATTCGTCTGAGTCAATTCGTATTTCGCTTGTCGTTTCTGTCGTCACCCAAAAAAACTTAGCCTAGGTGTTATATACAAGTTAAAACGGAAGATTTATATTTATGGTATATTCATTCGTTTATCCAAATTAGAGTTGGATTTCAGGCCACTTAAGTAGTGAGCCACAATATACTCTTTAATCCACATACTTTATGTAAGGACTGATAATACTACTCAAGTCTCAGAAACAAGATAGATAGAGGAGTCCTCGAAATTGTAATCAATTGGTTGGGATCTGTATTTCAACTATCAATAGTGCATATACACCTTTGTAGAGTCCTATATATATGGGAAACAACAATTCGATTCACTTCGGTTTTCTAGCTGCTTAACGTTCGTAATAAGAATTACCTTTGAGGAAGTAAAATAAAACGAAAAATTGTTTCCTTGTTGCGCTTTAAAGGGAGTATATATTAAACATAATTGCTCGTTGATTAGGTTAAGTAAAAATTCATCTCTCATATTTGAAAAACGTGCAACAATCCAGAGTTTTGAAAGATAATAGGTTTTGTCTATTATTTAAAACTTATTATAGATAGCAGAATGGGGATTTGTGGAGGTTGTAGTAATCTAAATAGTTGAATCCATCAGTCGATCTAAACGATTTTATACTGAAACAGTCAGTTCGGTAAAATAATACTAAGACAAATGACGGTTAGTGAATTATTTGCTTACAAAACCCATCCACTAAATAGATTTGAAAAGAAATAATCCCTGTTCAAGTGACTGATATATGAAAAAATCCCCAGGACTGATATATGCATTATGGATTTAAAGCTATTATTTATATACTACTGTAGTGAACAAGAACACGAGTGAAGAAAGTCGAATGTATTTGAGCGCAAAATTACAGATTACCTCACTAAAATCTGACAACCATACAGTAAACAGTTAATTTGCGAGTTATCAATCAATTGTCTCAATCTTGACTGTTCCTTCTGCAAATATTAGTCCATAGTTTCCGATTATTGTTGTACATGCATTTTCATGCCAACTGCGTTTCGTTATCGATCTTCTACTGAAATACATTCAATGCCCGACCATCGTTATATACTGCTTATGTGGATATAAGTAGCCAACATCACACTAGATAGGCTTTAAATAATACCAAAGAGACCAGTAAAGTTTCTTTCTGTCCTCCATTTTTAAAAATGAGTGAAGAACGAGCTCTTTTTTAAATTTTGTGAATTATATTCACATATTTGATTCGTTCGTAAAACCCTAATTAATTGTTAAGCCAGTGTACATTGGTTTCTAGAATGTTTTTTTTTCATTGAAAATATTTTAGAGACTTGGGAGTTACAGATTTAAGAGTTGATTTAGATCAGTTTTATCAAATTCACGTTGATACAGAACTAATGCGGTAAGTCAGTCATTCTTAATTAAAATAAGATGAATAATCTGTTATATTTGTATTCTGATGAAAATAAAAATGAATTCGCTTTTAAAGAAGTGAGATGATTTAGTTTTTTAAATACCTATCGCTGGGTTTTTTTTCAAAAGCGAATCAGAACTCGATAATTGAAAGCGGCAGACTAAAATAGGAATAAGTACGTACCATACTACATTTATTCACTATCCTATGTGATTGATTAACTCGCGTGTAGACTGAGACAAACGAGCAATCTATCTCAATCACATAGGACTTACAATAATAAGTAGTACTAATAACTAGATAAAATGATGGCTGTCGTTAAAAAACGTTTAATCGAAAATAGTGAATGGGATATGTCGAATCTTTTGTTTACTGGTTGGCATAAATATAGACACGTTAGGTAATTTGAGAAGAACCAGCCTAAAACATGCTACGAAGGCTAATAAAGTATTGTAGACCGCGATGTGGCTACTCGGAATTTTACTGATTGACCAACTCCAGATATCCCAATACGACCTCAATACTGTTCCCCAATCTCCAATATATCAGAACACAACCGTTAAATGAGAATTGTTTATGGGGTCAAAAGAAGAATGAATATTCTTTACAGACAATGCATATTTATACAGTTAAGACGACCATGAATATTAATGATATGTCTTGTGGGTTGAACGCTTATTCAGATCCTAAGCTATTCTGATAACCCCAGGCTAGCACTACTCAGCGACTTGAAGACCAGAGAGAAGACACGAGTAACGAGAAGATGCTTTATTGCAAGGTTCAGTTTTGTACAGAAAATCGTAAGTATTTATAGATGTTTGCTTAAGTTAAATCAACATCCTAATTCAGCCAATCCAATAAACGACATATATTGCTACTGACCAATGATAGCGTGCCACGTTGGAACTCCAGAATGTTCTGTCGTGCTCTGATTGGTTGGAGCTCTTTTTGAGCCTCTGTTGGAGTTCTCTGGAAACCGACTTAACAATTAACCAATAGGAAACGGCATGTGAAAAGTCTGAAACATGTTGAAACATACCATCTCACGTTCAAGATAGAATTAGACTCAACATAATTTTTGGGATATTTTTATGAATATCCTAACATACAGACAGTCTTGTTTTCTCCTTTTTATTTATACTTTAGTATTTTATTATTGTTCGTGTCAGTTATCACTAATTGTTCTTGGTGTACGAACATAAAAAAGTAGATTGGTCTGCTATTCATAAGATCATTGTATTCTAGTGACAGAATCGTAGATGCTATATATATAAGACAAGTTCCATGAGATATCAATAAATGTCTCAACAGTCCGTAATACTGTTAGTAAAAACGCATTACCACTACTATTGTTATTATTCACTGGACAGAATTTTAGGCAGTATATTGCACTGGAAACATAATAGGCATGTAACAAAGACAGGTTTTCGGTACATTAATATAAACTAATTAATTAATCCCCATTTCATTTCGACTGAAATGCTGGCAAACCCTCTTTTAGTAAATGATATTTTTTACGTCTTTTTTTGTTTTATATTAGATCTCATGAAGTTTTATTTCAGCCAAGTTTTATGGGTAGTTCAGAAGCTGGTCTCTCCGACTGTTTAGAGTTTGTACTGCGAGATACATCTCGTCTACTTGATAGTTCATCAGAGCCAAACTTTCCTCAAAGAATATATCTAACCGGTGGTGTTGCTGCTATACCTGGTCTTGTCGACCGAATTCGATGCGATATCAGGCCTTTATTACCTGTTGGATCAAAATGGGATAATATTGAAGTTATTGTAGCCGGTAAGTTGAAATAAGGTTGAGTTTATTTGTAACAAAATACGGGATACACCTTCCGATCCATTATTTTTTAATACAGTTACTCAAAATATGAATACTCTTAACTGATCTTAATAATAGGAAAATTCAGAGTGTACAAGGTTTTAACAAATAAACCAAAAATTCCCAAATACATAAAGTTAAGTAAGAATACAATGGGTAATAGGTTAATTATCATGCTCAAATCGGACTTTCATCTGAGAAAACGAGTCAGAACATTTGCTTACAAGGCTAACAAACAAACTACAAAATAGTTGGTAAGCTAGTTGGGAATTATACTGTCACTATATATGTGAAGGCATCATGAAAAAAAATTTCTCTCTATTCTTTTTTTAAATAATGAAGCAATGGTACTATAATCGGACTTGAGTTTGGTGTGATTTATGTACCATTATATGTTTGATAGTTTTCAGGGTATCTCTTGAAATATTTGTAAAATGTCTATAAATTGTATACTGTATATAAAATCTGCGTAGTTAAAGAGCATAGTACCATGTGGCTCCCTTTCAATTGTACACCTATGAGGATCCCCTATCGAAGATTGTTAGAGTAGATTTATGACTACTGCACTGTTAATTAGATCTATGTGCTAGCCTAAAACCCTCAAGGTTCTTTTTTGATGTTTCTCAGGATATGTTTCTTTTTTGGGGATAATTTTAATAAATATACACTGTTAATATATGTGATACTCTTCAGCAACGTAGATGCTACACAGAGTCAGATTGAGTATGCTCAATTTACACGGCAGACGTATTACTATTCATATCTGACCACAAATTTATACATGTTGTAATATCAACATACTTTGATTCAAACGTTTTATTTAAACTTAATGTTTTCTTTGGTAATATTTCATACTGTTTTATAAATATAATTTACCAGCTAATCCTCATTTGGATGCATGGCATGGAGCTCGTCATTTCGCGAACTCATCATATGCTGAACAGTACTACACAACTAAACAAATGTATGAAGAATATGGTCCATATTATTTTAAAGATCATCCTTTAGGTAATCGTTATTGGATCAATACAAACTGAAGTATTTAACATTGGAAACCGATTGATTCCTTGTAGATAAAATATCAGTGTACCACTAACTATATTCTTTGTTGCTTCCATATATTAAATGTAATTAATTCTCAATAAGCACCACTATCCCATCTGAATAATTTATGTATTCTACCATATAAATAAGTTTCATAGATATAATTCCGATCGCATTTTTTCCATTCCATGGTATTTTCACAATCTCATCTAATTAAAAATAAAATCTTTGTTTCTATACTGTTTAAGTGAATTGTCAAGTATTGCTTAGTTCCCGTTTCTGTCTATTCAATAAACATAAATGCGGACTGACTGACCATAAAGAGGGATTTCGTAAACGCAGCAAACCTCATTCTATTATTGATTGTCGAAAAGGATCGATTGTTTTCATGTATTGTCGAAATCCAACCCCCAATGTTTGCGCAGGTTGAATGCTAAAACAAGCGTTCTCCAAGTTTCTAATTTTAGTTGGAATGATTTTTAATACTTACTGACACAACCTGCTTTTGTATTGTATCTCATATGAAAGTTATTCTCATACAATCATGTAGGGACTTTCAACATAACCAACAAATTATTCCAAAAATATACTGTTTTAATTTACATCTGCCACTTTTTACAAATGGACCAATCAAATATTCTGATATACATTTGGTTATTTCACTAAAATTTTTATGTGATGAGCGGTTTAGTGCAATCCTCTTTAATCCACTCTTTTGGAATTTCTCATAGTTCTGTGTACTCTCCATTTTTTGATGCCAGTTTTTTAGTCCGATTAATTGATAAGTAGGGTAACTTTAGGAAAACGTCTTTTGACTGAAACTCGTGTGCTAATAATAGAAAATATTTTTTAAGAAAGACACAGTTTATCAGAACTACCATTTGTTAGATGAAACACACATATACATATACATCATACATTACATGTCCCATTTAGCAAAAAAACATCCTATTTTATACGGGCTCGTGTAATCTATTGCGGTTTGAATCCCGGTTATTAATTGGTAATTATATTCCGTAAAGTTGCTTAGGTACTAGTGAACGAGAACACCGGTGGGGGTAACCAAATTTATTTGAATAGAAAATTACAGGTCTTAATAAAATCTGAGATCCATACGGTAAGCACTTCATTCGCGAAATGTCAGTCCATTGTCTCAAACTTGATTGTACCTTCGTTTCCACACCAATCACTCTCTGTTCCCGTTCTCTTCGATCTTCTTAACTTTCTGCCGCCAGGCATTTCACTTTCGATTAGTGATAAATAATACTTATATCCGTCGACGTCAGTAGCATACATCACACTAGAACTGTGGAGACGGTACTAGTAAATCAACTAGTGTGCTATGGGATACTTAAGACGCCAGAAACATTCAGATGCTCACTATTTTGTCCTAGTTTCTATTTTAAATCAATTTTTACTTCTGCTCCTATGCGCCCTTCAATGTAATGCTTTCAAAAACGTTCTTTTATTGCTTAACTTGTTAATACGATGAATTTTAGCCTCATTTTTAGTTACCTTGTAAAAAGTATTTGTATTGAATAGCTGTTCGCCTAACCGATCTTTGATGAGTTTAATAAGTTGCATAGTTCTAACTCTTCGCTTTGGAAGGGGCCGTCTGAAAAAACAAAAACGAGAAGTCTTATACGTTTATTGTTCACAATTGTCGATGCTAGTTCTATTAAGATATCAGAGCTGATTCAGTAACAGATATTTCTTGTTCAGTTGATACTAGCAATCGCTATTACTAGACGTAAGGTTTCCTTATGACTTATCAAACACAAAACCAGAGAGCTATCGATTCTGTTGAGTTAACTTCTACCAGCATCGCGATCTCGTAAGACAATAGGACGGATTATTGATGGTGGTGGTTATTAACGGGAAACACCCTCATGACCCTACACCCTGATATGGTCAGTAGTACGAGTAACCTGAGGTTTTTACATTGGTTTCATTCGGTTTTACATCTCTGGTATGGTAGGAAGTTATGGTGCATTTGATCCTGTTAATAAACCTGAATTCCGTCGTCACAGTAGGCAACCTCAACCACCGTATCATGGTAGTAGCAAACTTCTACTAACTGATAAAAAGCAAATATTAAATTATGTATATTATGTACATGTTCTGAAGAAATTATAAAACATTTAGCTATTAGTATCAAGTGACTCGACTAACGTACGAGAATAAGAACTTTTGTAGATATTTTCATCTCGAATAATATTGCGCCAATTTGGCCCAGCAGATTTTTCATCACGTCTATTAGTATTTGAGTTTTCAATATCATTAATTCGTTGAATTAATTCACTAGATATTTGATTCCATAATTTCGGTAAAACATTTGTTTGCCAACGTTTAGCCAGTTGGTTGTTTTCGTCTAGGCAAGCTTGAAGAAAAACTAATTTATGATGAGCAACATTTGCTCTTAATCGTAAATTTTCATTTAAAACTGAAGCACTGACAGCACGTAGAGCTTTCCTGAAATTCACTATTAATTTGTGCATGTCTTGCAGCGCTTTATTGCAAAATCCAATATTATCTAATAAATGACTAAGATCTTCAAGCAATAATATCATAATTGAAGAATGACAAGGTAAATTTAGTTCCATAAGTCTATATTGAATTGCAGCAAGAATTTCATTTATACTGTTGTATATTTGATGAGCTGGATTATTTCCACTCTGTCTTTTAATTATTCTTGTTTTCTTTAAATAATCTGATGGATTATTAGTAGTAGAAGTGGTAGTGTCCATTGATGAGACTGCAGTAGTCTGAGATTTTGTGAATGATAAAACTATATTACACAGAAGAGTTCCTGCATCATCGATCAGGTCCATGTAGTCACCATTATAAAATCTTTAATCAGTAAAAAAAGAGTTATACAAAAACGGTAGAGGGACACAAAACTCTTTTGTAAAAAAGAGAAATACTTGATAAACGAGCCAGGTGATATTTTGGTTAGCCATGAGCAGAAGGTTTTTTTGCCTGGATATATTTGGATTCCAGTGTAAATCTTACAAAGAAACTCAAACCCAGAATAAACCGCTTAAAATGCTAGCTCATTATCCACTAGATCAGTGAGTCACAATAATCACCAAATTTGATCACCGGGTATATCTTTTGTCAGTCTTAAGTACAGTTACAAAATAACTAGAATAATTTCCGAAACCTTGTAAATACTTGTTACAGGGGGATTTCTTTGTTTTACTACAGCTATAGATAGCCAAGGACAAAAACATGAAAACAAACGTCAGATAATTCCAATTTAAACATTGAAAATTAAAAACACAAAGGGATCCCTTTCAACGAATTTATTATCAAGATGTACAATCATATATATATATATATATATATATATATATATATATATATATATATATGACCTTTAATTATGGTAACAAAAAAAAACATTTTAATCGTCTTACTATATCAACTAAATCTATTGTTATTACTCGTATTACGTAATCTTGGTTATTCGGGTTCATATTTCATCACGGAATCAGTACTTTAACAAAACATTTATATATATATATATACGATTGTACATCTTGATAATAAATTCGTTGAAAAGAGATCCCTTCGCTGAACTTCGTGTTTTTAATTTTTGGAAATAACTGTCTTTAGCCTAGAAAAGCATTAAACACAACTGACTTTTTGTTCTACTCCACTTAATTCTGATGTCATTCTATTGCATAAACATTTAAGAATGCTTGATTGACATTCATTTGGACAGTACTATGGGATCACTAGTCATCATACAATAACTATGGTTTCAAGTCTAGAGTTTATTCGGTAAGTCCCTAACAAACGCGCATAAATCCAATAAAATACAAGGAAGCATTAATTTTTACAACAAAATCAGTGAAACCTTGAAACTAAATAAAACCATTTGTTGGATTACTTGGCGTTATTAGCTTACCTCATAACAAAAGCATATCCCAGTAACACATCTGCTAAAATGTACCCGACTGAAGAGTGAGGCGATATTCCGGATGGTAAAAGTTGACTTAACGACGGAATACTAGGTGAGGTTCGCGATTTTTCCACTGAACCATTCTGTTGATTCACTTCGAAAATAATTGGTTTTTGATCTAACCACCAAGGAGTCCATGTTGGTATGAAATGAACGATAGCATTTGACTGAATAAGTCGGTTGAAATCTCGTTTTTCTTTCAGGGTCAAGCGTGACCAGATGACATCAGCATCTTCACTTTCCAAATTTAAATCACCTAAACTGAAACAATAAAATACATTTTGAAGTTTTTATTCCGACTAACAACTTTAATTTCAGAAGCATATGGAATTAATCTATTATTAAGAAAGCGTTGAATGATATTAGGTAATATATATGCATTGAATGAAATTAGGAGGGATGTAACTTTGATCTCTCCATTAAATTCGCGTAATAAACTTGTTGAAATTTTTTTAGATAATCCAGAGACTCAAAATTGAAAAGCTTTTGTACAGTTAGACGTATACTAAACAAAACTATAACCACCATTACAGTAAAACATTTCATCTAATTATTTATGAATGTATTTGATTCTCTGAAACCAATTAATTTGTATCATTTAACCAAGATAATGTTGATATTTATAGTACTAAAAATGTCGTCTATCAATGAGTCTGAATAGAAATACCACTAAGAAAAACAAACAAAATATTATACAGTATTCTCACAGAGTAAAACAAGATGTACTTAACGATACATAAAGACTATACGCAATTTTTTGTACAAAAGAGTAGAAATTCATGATGAGTAGGATAGCCTTAAGTGGTAAAGGAACAATTTTGACAGACTGGCTCATTTCTGACTTCTCATCCTGTACTCATTATTACATGAGACTGGATAAGTCCTGAAGGCTTTAACAGCCTGGTAGGATATAGCTGTACTGATCAAGCGGCGATTATTGTATCCGACAGTCAGCTACAACGTAGGACCAGTACATATATGCATCGGTCTAAGTTGCCATACCTCATTAGCACAACAAGATGAACACCAAATTCATAGAAGTAGTTAATTTAATGATGGTAATATATAAAAGAACGATTGTGTATAATGATATAGTACAGGAAAAAAGATATGAAGCAATTTTAATCTCACAGTTTAAGAGAAGACAGAATGTGTATACACCTACGCCATTGTGATCGATTCTAAGCCATATCACCCAGAGCCTCCAACCATTGGTTACGATAGTCACGCGGACCCCAACCAAATAGTCTGCATCTACCAACATGACTCAGACTAGAAGTTGGTGACTTCAAGCACTGATACCACGTTTTGGTTTGGCCGCCACTAACTTTCTTCCAACCATCCCCAACACTAGTCGATGAAGATTTATGACCTCATCAACTGATTTACCATCATTCCCCAATACCCTGTGTCTAATCTCACCATTACTCACCCCGTGATCCCAGCAGATGCGAGCAATATTTCTAAGGCATCTGTGGTCAAATACTAGTAACCTACGAGTATCTTCTACTCTTAATGGCCATGTTTCACAGCCGTAAAGTAGGACAGAGCGAACTGCTGCGCAGTATACTCGTCTCTTAATTGATAGACGGATATCTCGTCTTTGCGATAGGTGACGTAAGTTGGCAAAAGCCAAA